TTGAGAAGTGAACATTGCCAAAGGAATTTTCAGCCTAGGGCTTTGATGCCATAGTTTCACCTTTTAATAGACTTTTAGTGTTTTTTAAAGTACCTATCGAAGTTTTCACAAATAAATTTAAACATTCAGCAACTTTTATCTTTTTTTTTATTGGTTAGATGAGTGGACGATATCACAGCCGACTTGGTATCTGGTGGTTACCGGAGTCCATAGACATCTACAACGTAAATACCACTACCCACCTTGAGATATGAGTTCTAAGGTCTCAGTATAGTTACAACGGCTGCCCCACCCTTCAAACCGAAACGCATTATTGCTTCACGACAGAAATAAGCGGGATGGTGGTACTTACCCGTGCGGACTCACAAGAGGCCAGTAAATCTTCATTCATTCCATTTCATTCATTTACCGTAGATTTCCTAAGCTTCGCAGCTTTAGACACCTTCGGACAAGGTCATGGTGAGTCGTTGTGATCCAGACTCATCATTGCTTTGTGCTTTGCATTCCGGCAGTAATAGGCAATTTCTACTTGTGCTTGCTCCAAACATTGTTTTTTTATTGCCATTGTAGGCATACGAGCATACGGCTCACCTGATGGTAAGTGGTCACCGTCGCCATGGACGTCAGCAATACCAGGGACAGAGCCAAGCCGCTGCCTACCATTGTTTAGCGTTCATCTTGACATTATTCATAAATTTTTTTTTTTTTTTTCAAATACCCGAATATTTTAACGTTACATAAAAGAATTATCATGCTTTAATCCATTAATAGCACTTTACGACATAAACTCGAAACTCCAGAGAACTAAAATGAATTTTTTTGTCTTGAATTTACTGAATTTAAATTGTTAAAATTGTTGGTTTTTTTCATAAGCCGCTTACACTGGCTCCACACCTCACATCGCGCCATGGGTAATTAAACATCTTGAATACTTGATTTACAACCGTAAAGGGAATTTTATTCCATTTTCATGAATAACAAAGGTAATTCTTTTTTCTCTTGCCTTTTCTGAAGTTTTTATTAGTTCAAAAAAGTTAGTTTTCCATTTTTCGTGTTAGTTAAAAAGTTTTTGAACAATATTGTTTCACGATTCGTCCATGTCGATCATACAAATTCCTATAGCTCGCTATATATACAAAAGGATGGGTTTGGGTTTTAGAGGGATTCAGGCTTCGCTGTAATAAAGCATTTTATTTCAGCTTTCGTCTCAGAGCTTTATTAATCGATTTAAATTGTTACATTATATAAAGCATTTTATTTTTATTTTATTTTTATTGCTTAGATGGGTGGACGAGCTCACAACCCACCTGGTGTTAAGTGGTTACTGAATCCCATAGACTTACTGGTGGTAGGACCTCTTCTGAGTCCGCACGGGTAGGTACCATCGCCCCGCCTATTTCTGCCGTGAAGCAGTAATGCGTTTCGGTTTGAAGGGTGGGGCAGCCGTTGTAACTATACTGAGACCTTAGAACTTATATCTCAAGGTGTGTGGCGCGCTTACGTTGTAGATGTCGCAAATTATAATTTTGCAAGCATTTCAGTAAACTCAATAATCCTCTCCATTATAATGCACTCTTAGTCAGTCACCACCTATCAAATTTGTATCTGGCAATAATGGCAACCGGCTTATTGGCAATTAATCTCTTCTCATTCAGACACTTCATTAGTGGGACACTAACGCTCCCGGACATCCGGTGACAAATTAAATTCGCTTGTTACTTGAACATCACTATGCCACGTCCTAACTAACGTCCACAAAAGGTAATTGAAATCGTAATTGTACTATTTGGTTAATTTTTGTGTTAATGAACTATTTAGATTTGATTTTTAATTGTAAAATCGATTTTTTTGTTATAGGAATTGAAACTGAAAATGGACTTTACAAAGTTAATGACAACAAAAAGACATCATTCATGTTCGTGTTTCATGACTCGTTTTTTTTTACCATGAATAGTATGGATCTATACAAAAGGGTTCAATTTCAAACAGGCTAGAACAGACTAGGTTTTATTTATTTTCCTTTAAAAAAAAGAAGAAATCGCAAAAACTAATACATGATAATTAAATGTCTTCAAGTCATGTAATTTGATATTGAGATATGAGTTCTAATGTCTCAGTTTTTAAAGTACAATGGCTGCCCCACCCTTCGAACCGAAACGCATTACTGCTTCACGACAAGAATAGGCGAGGTGGTGGTGCCTACCCGTGCGGACTCACAAGACGTCCTACCACCAGCTTTGGTCCACAATAAAAAGGTTGTTTTAGTTAAAAATTAACTAAATTAAAGATAGAAGACATTGTTTTTCGGTTCAAATACAAAACAAAGAAAAGACCAAGTGGTTCTTACAAGATTGTGGATTGGACACACAAATTTAACTCACATACATCTTATTACCAAAACAGATAAAAACAAATGTAAGTGTGGTTTGGATCAAACTGTGGTACACTTGTTAGTTGAATGTAAAGCATATGACATAGAAAGACAATTTTGTAAACTCCCTGATAATTTAACAGACTGTCTGACTCAAGATGGGTATAAGACCCTTAGTTTTTTAAAGATCATTGGTTTGTATAATTTAGTATGATGTTGAAGTCAATGTAACTTAAAATGATACTGTAAGCTGTGGTCGTTAATGACCCTAGATGTTAAAAAGCGACCTTAAATAAATAAATAAAAAATTAAAAAAGATACCTACAGAAGAAACATCCCATTTTCTATATTTCGCGATAACTAACTTAACTGTTTAGAGATTTCGTACTAAAAGGGATTTTATTTGGTAAAAGGTCGTCCCGTTCTCCGATACGGTAGAATTGATTTTGTTTAACCCTCACGATACAGAATAAGGAAAGACGAGTAACCGAATTACACGACTTCTAATACGTTAAAAGGAAAAGTCGTGCGCAAATCGTCACCGATATCGTAACGATTTCATACAATTCATGGCAGTGTTTTTTTTTTATTCCTTAGATGGATGGACGAGCTTACAGCCCACCTGGTGTTAAGTGGTTACTGGAGCCCATAGACATCTACGACGTAAATGCGCCATCCACCTCGAGATATAAGTTCTAAGGTCTCAAGTATAGTTACGACAGCTGCCCCGCCCTTCAAACCGAAACGCATTACTGCTTCTCGGCAGAAATAGGCAGGGCGGTGGTACCTACCCGTGCGGACTCAGAAGAGGTCCTGCCACCAGTAGTGTGTAATGAAATTACGGTAATGAAATAAATTCTTTTAGAAAATTCACTAACATCCACTTTATAGTTTAGACGAAACACGAGGAATTTAATTTTTTTTTGTAGTCAAAGTTAGGCTCGCGACAAATCTGACCACAGCTATCAGTGATATTAGAAAACGTAAAACTCTCATTGAACTCCTCTGTGCGACCATTTTCCGCAGTGCTGAGGGTCGTGACCTTTACGGAGCATTTTGTTAGGACTATGTTCCTCCATTCCTTCCTGTCCTCCGCGCTGTATGTAGATAGCGACATTGACTCTGGAGTCCAATGTCGTTTTAATCTGATTTGACCAGCGCATGGGACTACGCCCCCTGGGCTTCTTTCCTTCCGCTTTGACGGTGATAAGTAGTCTTCCGAGATTGAACTACGTATAAAATATAAAAGTTATCTATACTTCTATATTCTTCTTTCACTACACCGCTTTACTACTACTACCCTCTGAGACTTAAGTTCCAAGTTTGAAATATTTTAATTAGGCCTGTCCCATGACTCGAATCGGAATGAGTGATCGCGTCATGTCCGAGCGAGCACCCTATAAACAATAAATTTGATGACAGTATTTTATGTCTTCAGTGCGAGTTTTATAACGTTCTCGATAGCGTAAAAGTTAACTCAAGTTTGTATTCAGGTGGAACAGCGCCCCTAGCGGCAAACATAGGCAAACATTCCAACTCCATACAAATTTGAATTAACTTTTACGCTATCGAGAACGTTAAAAAACTCTCACTTAGCACACTGTTGTAATTCCCAGTGGAATCTTCTGCCCGTACTGCCGTGAATCACCTAGTCGTTTAATCCAATAGCCACGGGAAGAGCTGGTGCGATTTTAGGTCACCACACAATCTTATACTACCTACCTTATACTACCAATCTTTTACTGGTGGTAGGAACTCTTGTGAGTCCGCGCGGGTAGGTACCACCACCTTACCTGTTTCTGCCGTGAAGCAGTAATGCGTTTCGGTTTGAAGGGTGGGGCAGCCGTTGTAACTATACTTGAGACCTTAGAACTTATATCTCAAGGTGGGTGGCGCATTTACGTCGTGGATGTCTATGAGTTCCAGTAACCACTTAACATCAGGTGGGCTGTGAGCTCGTCCACCCATCTAAGCAATAAAAAATAACTTATTTTTATATTCCTGGCGTAGGGCATGATCGCTGTAGCCGTCTTAAATATACACTGTGTACTGAGCACCATTCTCAATTCATTTGTGAGTCAGTAAGGTCGGAATTATTTTCGTCGGAACACCAATATGTTTGCAAATCGTTCAGGGACCCGATCTGTACGTCCCATTACAAGATATTCAATACAGATTACAGGGGAACAAATCTGCTAATTCTTTTTTACAGTTTTATGACTTCTTTGTGTGTTCTTTGCTTGTTCAAACTTGAAATTAAATTGATTCTAACACGTTCGCTGCGGCAAGTAAAATCTTAAACCTTTGTCTGGTGCGGCGGCGGGCCAAATTGTGCCCCCAATGATTTTTCCGCCAGTGCGTGGTAGGTCTTTTTCGACACGTCAGCACAAGGTTAGATTAAATTGCTATAACTTTGCAAAAACATAATGTAGGTGAACAGTTTTTGGACTGTTGGAAAAACCTTAAACCCAACTTCTTTAGATTTGATTCGCCCCGGGATCTGCCGAACAGAAAATGAGAAATAAACCAGGGAAAGTGGCGGGTCGATATCGACCAGAACCGCACTAGAAAGTATTTTTAGTAGTGATGGGAAAGACAAAAATAAGGGGATATCGAAAATAAAACAGAATTAAAGTAAAGAAATAAAAATTGTTTATTTAATTATTTATTAATGGCTGTCTTTAAAACATTTCGCACAAAGATTTTGCTTGCACATTCTGCAGTATGTTTTAATTTTTTTTACTTTCCTTTTCACCTCGGAACTCTTCATGGTTTCCCGCAGTTTTTCATAGCACCCTACACAATTTCGCCGTTTACCGCTCATCTCAAGGATATGATCGGCTGTAGGTGTTACTTGATTTCCTGAAATGATTTTTTAAATTCTGTGATTCATTTACCTTATGAATTTGACTACAGGGCTCTCTGTGTATTAAATAGATTCTCAAATAAAATGAAAAAGTTAACATAGGTCTTGAAATAGTCAAATCTCATCACCATGCGTTGTCAAAGTGCACACTTTGATGGGTAAAATTAAACACAACATGCTACAAGATAAGGTGATACAACTTTGTTTTCTGCAATTTTCAGACCACTCTATTTGTTAAGCTTGTGAAAACAAAATATGTACATATAATACAGGGCCTTATATAGTAGACTTGAAGCGTTATTTTCATGTTAAATGCAGCCTTCTGACCCGAAACAACAACTCATGTGTTATTGAGTAAGTAAATAGAGTGTCATAACATACCTTAATACAAGGAGTAGTGCAATAAACGCCATACATTGCTCGCAGAAAAATAAACGGAGTCAAACCAAAGCTCATGCTCGAAGACCATGCACAGCCACCTAAGCACTCGTAATGTGTAAAAAATAATGACAATAGTTACCTGTTGCAGAGGTAGAACGTCGTCAACACGAAACAGAAGGAATCACCTTCAACATAGGTCTAAAGATGGTTACAGTTATGTTGCACGTCGTTATACTTACTATCAGGGCATATATTTTTTCCAGTAATTGATTGTATTAATGCTTCTGTAAATTCTTTCTTTGAAACCTTCTTCTCATTTTTCATGTTGTATATAATCCAAGCGTTTACCAACGCCATGCCAAACAAATATTCCATACCCACTTTTCTGAACCATTTGAGCCCTCTTTTTAATGTAAAATAATATGCAGACATTTGGTCGATGAAGTCAACACCTTTTTTTTTGTTATTATATGTTAAGACACATGTAGGCTTTTTTATATCTTCGTATGTCTTCCTATTTTTTCTGCCTGTATTGACAAGCTCATCTTTGTCCTCTTTGAGAGTAGATAGCATCGTAAGTTGCCTTTTGTCAACCCATTTCATAACTTTAACGCCATTTTTGTTCATAGATCCTCTGATTTCACCCTTTTTCAATTTAAGTGACACTATATTCTTAGGTAGCCCTCGAATTTGATTCTTAGGGTTACGAATAAACGGAGTTTATTTTGAGAGATAAGTTGTTCAGCCAATTCTATTGAAGAATAAAAATTATCAGCAATTACTACACGGCATTTGTTTTCCAGTCCTTGAATTAGTTTCAGTACGGTGGCTTTACTATGATTTTTTTCAGTACCATTTTCACCTTTTCCGGAATAAATTATTGAATTATATGTATATCCTTCTGGAGTGCATAATTTGA